GACAAATTGGGGGTCCAGAGGGGTGGGGGCACACATTGGTTGACCTGATGCATAGAGCTTCATCAGAGCTAAACAGCAAAAGAAATCTGAAGCTCCTATGTTTAATAGTTTTTGAGTTATAACCATTTTTGTATGTCCAGATACCCTCCTTTTCAGACAAATTGGGGGTCCAGAGGGGTGGGGGCACACATTGGTTGACCTGATGCATAGAGCTTCATCAGAGCTAAACAGCAAAAAAAATCTGAAGCTTCTATGTTGAACAGTTTCTGAGTTATAAGCATTTTTTGCATGTCCATACACCCCCAATTTGAAAGGAGCCCCCTTCTCAAATATGGGGTCTATCGTAAAACCGTTGGCTGGTGCAGTGTAGGTCGGACTCATCTACAGTCCTGCCAAATTTCACGTTGGCCGGTGCAGCTGTTTTTGTGCTATGGTTGACCAAAAATCTCCAGAGGAAAAAAAAGTATGAAAACAATATGACTCCCGCTTACGCTTCGCGTGCGGGGGTCATAATAATGTTCTTTCTTGAACGTATAATGACTATTTCTGACATTTGTGTTACTACTTCGTTTGTTATATATTTTTGTAAACCAAGGAGTAAATTTACTGTAAGGAGTTCCTCCATCAAATTGTACCCCACTTCATTCCTAGCATGAAATGGTTACCACTGTATAATATTTTTTCTTCACCCATGCACTTACTCATATCCATATCATCAAACCTTGCATGCACAGGCAGAGGCAACAGCTCTACACAGCTCTGAAGTTTTTTTGCATAATTAACATTTTAATACACCATATTTTTAATTTGTAATGCATCTTAATAAAAATATATATCCTTGTTAAAAACAGGCTTACATGCCTTGGCTCAGTCATGGTGCATAAAATGTAAGTCATCCAGGACAAAACTTGGATGAATGGATATATCTGTGGTAACATGTATTAACTTGTAATAATATATTTTGCTTATTTAATGACAGCTAATAAAATGCCCCTATCTTCCCCTGCGGCAAAAGGAGAAACGTCTTCACCTTGTTATTTCTCAATCGCATTGTAGAGCTCTGATCATTAACACCTGATCTGCAGACAGTTTCTGTCCTTCTTGAGCTCATCTTAGGTCACCGGAACTATCATTGAGCGTACCGCCCCAGTCAAACTGCTCACCTGTCACTAGCTGAGTTTCCATTGCATGTGCGCAAAAC